GTAAGAAGACATTTTACGATGCAGTTTGCTTAGAAACAAACTGATGGCAGTTTGGACGGTGCACCTCGCGGTACTAATTAGCCGTCGATACGAATGAATGTAGCAAAAAATGACTGGTCCTTCCCTGAACCTTCAATCTTCACTACCAGAGCAATTCCGCTTTTGGGTATGCCATATAAATTACCAACAGACTTGAGATAGTGGGAGTTCATAGGTGTATTTAAATTGTACGTCTTTGAAGTTTTAAGTATTTGATCACTAAATTTAGCATTTATAGGTACGCGTAAACACGCATGAAATGACGCTAAATCAACTCACAACAGCACTGCGAAAGAAAATGCTCGAGAAGTTGGGGCGTTCGGTAAATTTTTGGTTTTTATTTAATTGAATTAATTCCTTTGAGACGGTTTTTCCAGGGATTTTAAATTTGTGTGTGTGTTTTTTTTTGGTTCGGCCACGTAAACGCTGCCTAATTGGCTGTTTTTTATGCGGTCCCTGCCTCATAGATAGTGATTAGGGGAGAGTTTTTGTCTTCCAATTGAAAAAGTTGCATAAAAGGAAAACCATGCACTTTTTCCACATATGTTCAATCGCTCGTCAGCTTCACGTCACCTAGACAACTGGCAGATTTTCCATAGTTTTCCCCCTCATACAAGAAAAGGCTAAAATACTGGCACATGAATTGCACATGAAAAACTGTAAAGCAACAACCATTTATACTGTTGGCGATCTGACTGCGTCAAGTTTAGCGTAAAAACTCATCACTGGAGCTATATTAACTGGTGGTCGGCCTCTCTGCTGGCGCTCCAGATCTTTGTTTTCGTGCTTTCCTCCCTTCATTTTTGCCAGACATGTGCATCAAATGCGTCCAATTCTTCCTGCTACTTTGTAGGCTTATCTACTTATTGTCTCTTCTAGACTTGCTCGTAATAAACATTATTTGCAGGCTAGCGGAGGAAGGATGGGAGGTTGGATAGGAGCAAGGAGGAGGGAGGGAGGGAGGGGGAGAGGGGGTACGCGGGGAGGCAAAAAGCTAGGAGTTGAATATAGGAATTTTTCCACGTTACCATCAGTGTTTTTTGTCAGTTTTTTCCCTCTTCGTGGCAGTTGAATTGTTTTCAGGTGCCCGTAACGCTAGTGGACAAGCAGCATGCTCGTTGCGGTTTGTGCAATGCAGTGGTATCGTTGAATCGTAAATTTGAAGTTGTTCATTTGGTGCGACATTTCAATGCCTGGCATCCATCGGTGCATCAATGCGCTGGAAAATGGAAACTCAAGGTTTGTGTTATTTTCCCCTGTATTCATTTTTTTTTCCATTCCACACTTTTTGGTCACTTTTTCTTTATTATTTTCTCAAGGCATCTCCCCCCGGAAAATCGTTAGTATTTTATGCGGTTGCGCGAAACACGCTGTTGAGCCGAACACGTCATAGCCTGGAAAGATGGTAAAATGGTACCTTCCAGCAGAAAAGCAAAAACGACAAACGTTGGTGTAGTCGGGTTTATCGTTAGTAAGAAGCACTGATTGCATATCATTTTTTTTTTCTCTCACTCATCGCGAATCTGCTTTTTTTTCACGCCGGCTAGTTTCGAATAAAACCCTTGAAATTACCGAGGCTTATTCTCCCACCGTTACTGTTGATGAGGATAAGGATGAAGATTCTGTGCCGAGTTGAGGCTTCTGCGCCCAGCAACAAACGTTGATATCTGAAATTTCAACCCGACACTTGAGGCAGGAGCGAGGGCGGAGGTACGTTACCATTGACAAAAGAAACGCCAACGATGAAAGGCTGGTAGCGATGATAGGAGCGAAAAATGAATTTTTTTTGGAATTACTTTGTTCCAAGTTTGGCGTATGTCATTGGACGAAGCCCGAAGAGGACCGAAGCTTATTCCATCCTGGTCGACGCCTGGCTCATTTTTAAGGATGTCTTTAGGACGAAAAATAACTACCGTGTTCTGCAGGCATGAATGCCTAGCATTTTTTTCGAGAAGTGGAATTTTGGCAAAACGGTGCCTTTCAGCAGAAAAGCAAAAGAAGTGAATATTGGCGAAATCGGGTTTATCGTTAGTAAGAAGCACTGCATTTCCGCACAATGAGCCCTGAGAAATGCATCGATTGGAAAAGAGGATACTCTTTTGGAGTGCTACTTTTAATCAGTAAAATGATTGTTGGTATTTTCAGAAGCCCCAGCCAGGATTGGGCAAACCTCTGTCGATTCAGGATTTTGCTGTCATT